GCATCTTTTAATTTAATGGCTGCAGTCACCATCTGCAGTGATTTTGTAGCCCCAAAAAGTAAAGTCTGTCACAGTTTCCACTGTCTCCCCATCTATTTCCCATGAAATGATGGAACCAGATGCTATGATCTTAGTTTCTTGAACGTTGAATTTTCAGCAGATTTTTCACTCCCCTCTTTCACTTTCATCAAGAGTCTCTTTAGTTCCTCTTTGTCTTCTGCCATAAAGGGTGGTGTCATCTGCATATCTGAGGTTATTGATATTTCTCCTGGCAATCTTGATTCCAGCTTGTGCTTCATCCAGCCCAGCATTTCTTATGATGTAATCTGCATACAAGTTAAATGAGCAAGTGACAATATACAGCCTTGACATACTCCTTTCCCAATTTTGAACCAGTCCATTGTCCTATGTCCAGTCTTAACTGTTGATTCTTGACCTGCATACAGATTTCTCAGGAGGCAAGTAAGGTGGTCCGGTATTCTCACCTCTTTAAGAATTTTCCATAGTTTGTTGTGATCCACACAGTCAAAGTCTTTGGTGTAATCAATAAAGCAGAAGTAGATGTTTTTCTGGAACTCTCTTGCTTTTTCCATGATCCAGTGGATGTTGGCAATTTGATCTCTGGTTCTTCTTCTGTTTCTAAACCAGCTTGAACTTCTGGAAGTTCACAGTTCACATACTGTTGAAGCCTGGCTTGGAGAATTTTGAGCATTACTTTGCTAGTGTGTAAGAAGAGTGCAATCGTTGAGGTAGTTTGAAAATTCTTTGGCATTGCCTTTCTTTGGGATTGGAATGAAAACTGACATTTTCCAGTCCTGTGGCCACTGCTGAGTTTTCCAAATTTGCTGGCATATTGAGTACAGCACAGGTAGTGGTAATGGTTGTACAGAGGAGGGCATGGCAATCCACTCCAGTGTTCTTGCCTGGAGAATCCCCATGCACAAGGAGCCTGGGGGGCTACAGTCCACGGGGTCATAAAGAGTCAGACACAACTGAAGTGACTTAGCATGCATGTACACAATGGTTGTACAACTCTGTGAATATATTAAAAACTACTGACTTGTATAGTACTTTTAAAGAGTGATATTGTAGTGTGTGGATTATATCTCAACAAAGGTATTGTAAAAAGCTAATTGTATTCTTATTTCCTAAAAATAAACTAGTGGGAATAGTATTTAACAAAAATAATACCATTTATTATAGTTTATAAATTACCAAATACCCAGGAATAAAATATTTGCAATATTTCAACACTGGAAAATCCAAAATATTACTGAACTAAATTGAGTAGCAAAATAAATGGAAGGCTATAATATGTTAATGAATTGAAAGACTCAAAATTGTTACATTATATATTCTGCCCAAATTTATTTTTAGATTCAGTGTGATTCCAGTCAAAACTAAACAGGCTTTAGAAGAAAATACAGGAGGATATCTTCATGATATTCAGTTATTCTTGAACAGGATACAAAAATTAACCATAAAAAATTGATAAGTGACTCTAAAATGTATATGAAAAGGCAAAGAATCTAGAATAGCCAAGTCACTATTGAAGAAGTACAAAGCTGGATGACTTACACTATAGGACATCAAGGCTTATTGTAAAAAAAAAAAGCACACGGTATTTGTGCACAGATAGACAAATAGACAAATGGAATACAATAAAAAATCCAGAAAAAAATTCACACTTATATAGTCACCTGATTTATGACAAACCCACTGTCTCAGTTCAGTATGGGAAAGAATGGTCTTTTCAATAAATATTATTGGGTCAATTAGATATCCGTATTGAAAAAATTAACATTATCCCTTACCTCCCACCAAACATAAAAATTAATTCAGTATAGATTATAGACTTAAATTTGAAAGCTAAAACCACCTTTCTGAATGTTGGAAATATTCTATACATTGATCTAGGCGATAGTTACATTGATATATATGTATATGTAAAAATTCATCTAGACCTGTGCTTAAGATTTTTGCTCTCTACTGGATGTAGTCTATATCTCATGTTTTTAAATGTAAGAAAAGAAAAAGAAAGGATTGCATATTTAGATAAATAGTAGAGAAGTTGCAGAACATCAAATACAAAGAAAAGCTCTTAAAACAACCAAAGAAGAACACAAAATTAAGCTGACAGCTGATTTATTAACAGTAAAAATAAAGGCTAAAAGACCATGGAATAATATTGTTTTCAATACTATGATTCAAATTTATCACATTTTAATATTTCTAATATAAGGGTGTTTCCTACAACTAATTTTAGTCTTATAAATTGTTGTTGACCAAGTGGCCCTTGTGACATAGTATCATTGCCTGCTCCTGTGCAAAAAGAAAAAGTACTTGCAGCAAATCTTTCAGAACTAATACCCACGGATAAAGGAAATGAGAGTGGAATAGTCATAACTATTGCATCACTAATGTTTGGGGCACACAGTACAATATTGTGAGGATAAACAACATATGGGTGATTCTGTAAATGAAAAGGAAAACAAATTATTTTAACAACTATTTTAACAAATAATTTTAAACAATTATTTTAACAAAACAAAAATTTTAACAAAAATAATTGTTTAAAAGAATGGGGAAAAATACATTTTCAGAAATGAAAGGCATAGAATTTTCCCCTAAAATATCATTGTTAAAAGAGTATATCTAAAGGGCATTTCACAAGAGGAAAATTATACCAGTAAAAACATCTGGGATGAAAGAATAGATGATATGTGGCTAAATCTAAACAAACTATAGCACAAATATTTAATTTTGAGATTAAAAAATGAATGAAGCTTAAGTAATGACGAGAAGAGTACTTACCCTGATCACAAGAAGAGGTGATTATTTGTAATTAAAAGGTTCCAAGTTCTTTGCATTCTTTCATTAATTTCTTCTATTAGTTAAGAAGTTAAACTCTATTTCTATTCTTTTAGTGGTTGCTCTGAAAAGTTAACATCCATGTTTAACAATATAGAAAATTAACTGATACAAAGAAATTAGAACAATATAATTGACAAAAACTTAGACTCTGACAATGCCAAGTACTAGTGAGGAAATGGAAACACATATATTGAGGAGCATAAATTAAGAATTACTTTGGAAAACAACTTGGCAGTGCCTTTGGATTAGTTTCCCTATAAGCTGACTCTGGCCAAGTGCCGGAGCCTGCCAGCAAACAAACCGGTCGTGAACGCAATCGACAAAATACCTAAGAAATAAAGACTCAGAAAGAATGGGGTTGAGAGGGACGGAGCCAGCTCTTGGCTGAAGCTGACCACCGACCACTTTATTGAGGGGTAACATACATATATATGCTAACAGGACTCACTAAATTTAGTTCAAAGACATGCATACATGCAGAATCGAAGACATTTGCTCAGGAATTTTATCTCAACTCTTTAAGATGAGCAAAGCATGGCACTGGCATCTTAGTGTAAATTAAATCATCCACAGGAGCCTGACAATCTTGTTAGAGTCAGGAAAATCTGGCAAAAGGTTGCTGCAGCAATTTCCCTTGATGGAGGTGTGAAAGGCCAATTTGCACTTTAACAAATAAGGGGTGGCGGGACAGAGAGGGACCTTTTGATCTCTCTTAGGGCCAAGAAGGGGCCTGAGCAGTCAGGTTGGCTCCCCACATCTCCCCCTTTTCTTTTTACTAATGGCCATTATATCTCCCTCAAAGGAAATGGCCGTGTTTGCAAACTGGAAAACATCAGCAATCTTCGATTTATCATTTCAGATATGCATTGACAAATGCAAGGGCCAAAACACAGCAATAATAATATACATATAATAATAAAAATTATAGATTTCCACCAACCATCATGAAACCAGGCAGATATCTGACTCCAAATGCTGGAGTCAGAAAAATCCATAGCGGCTACTTGTTGTTTCATATCCTCTAAAGCATCAGAAACATTTGAGGAATAATCAGGGATATATACACAACACTCCATATTTATTAAGGCACATGTCCCCCCTTGAGAGGCTGTTAGAATATCCAGAGCCATACGATTTTGTAGAACAGCTTTTCTCATCTGTTTTTGTTCTTCATTAAGAGCCTCTAAAGCTCTTCTAGTATCTGTCAAAGCTAGTTTTGTAAAATTGTTCAAAGCCTCTACTCTGAGCATAATATCAGTGGCTCCTAAAGGGGGCACAAAAATTGAGGCTAAATAATCATACCAATGAAAAACAGAGTGTGACCATTGGGCTTTAACATAAGGTAAATTAACAAGATGACTAATTTTTTGCTTATGAATTCTTCCAGGGGCGAACACAGACCCTAGGGTACATCTCCCCACCCATCCTACAGGGAGCCAGGGCCAAAGGTTGTATCCACAAATCCATCGAGTGTTATTTGGGGCTACCCATCTTATACCAGGGCTATTTTCCCAGTCTTTCCCTGGCCATATAACAGACTTGTTGGCAATAAATGTTACATCCATTACAGTCTTACATTTTTGGATAGGCAATAGTCCCATATGTTTCATGTGATATCTTGGAAATTCCCGGCCTTCAAATGTTGGTATATGAGTCTTTTGCTCCCAGCAAATGTCAGCAGGGGTCAGTAGCTGTCCTTTTTCAGGGGTCATCCAGAAATATTCATCCCAAACTTGGTAGTAGTCACCCTCAAATGGATTAAAATCATTAGGAGAAGAAATAGATCTATTTTTGTAATATGAGTATGCATTAACAATTTCCTGATAACTTTGTGTTACATCAAAATAAAAAGAAGATGCGTGTAGAGGATAAGAGCATCGAAAGTCTATATCAAAATTAACTGTAATTAAGCTTCGATGTTTCTTCTGATTTTTTTTTTAAAAATCACATAAAGCCGGAGTTTCATTTTTTGGAAAGGGAAGCACCCACCAAGGCAATCCTTCTGTAACCGATAATGGCATGCTTGTGCAGACCCAACAGGCTGTTTCATTGTAAAAATCAGCATAAGAATGAGCCCAGGAAACAAAAGCATTGGCTTCAGCCTGAGGGAAGGCTTGATTCATTACCGCGCAAGCCAGGGTGAGGACAATATAGGCGAGAGCTTGTCGGAAATGCATTTCTCTGCTGTAAGGTCAGCCGACCTAGTTGCTGATTCAGTGATCTCCTCCGTCTGGCATACCAGCCTTTCCGGGAGCCAGCGCGGTGCTTCGGCATCCTGTGGAAAAACACATACATGACCCCTCCCCCAAATTAACACGGGATCTGGGCCATGACATTTATTATCAAGGGGGTCCTTCCACAGAACCAGTGGCCTTCTGCCAGTACTCTGGGGATCCCAAAACCGCTGTGCAGCCAAGCGTCCTTCTTTATCTAAATTTAAAAAATTTAAAATGTAGAAAGCATGGTTAAGATAATTGCGAGGTTGCAGGGGGTAGAGCTCCCCCTTCTGTATTTTTTGAAGTTGCAGTTTCAGTGTCTGGTTGGCTCGTTCAACAATGCCTTGTCCCTGTGGATTATAAGGAATTCCAGTTTTTAGTGTAATAGAATAGGAGGTACAAAAGCGGGAGAAAGCAGAAGAAACATACCCAGGTCCATTATCCGTTTTTATGGCTTTCGGTATGCCTATAACAGAAAAGGCATATAGGCAATGGGCAATACAATGTTTTGCAGCTTCTCCTGATTGTAAGGAGGCAACAAGAAAGCCAGAAAAGGTATCAATGGAAACATGGACATATTTCAATTGCCCAAAAGAAGGAACATGAGTGACATCCACCTGCCAAAGATGGTTAGGCAGAAGTCCACGTGGATTAACACCATGATGTGGAACGGGAAGAAATTGAGGACATACAGGACACGATTTAACAATTTGTCGCACAGCTTCTTTAGGAATCTGAAACTGCAAACGGAGAGTGTTACTATTTTGATGATGCAGGGCATGCGAATGTTGTGCTGCATCAACCTGTGAAAGGAAGATTCGTGTGTGGGAATCTGCTAAGGCATTCCCAGCAGAAAGAGGGCCTGGAAGGCCTGTGTGAGCGCGAAGATGTCCAAAAAAGCAAGGTAAAGAACGTTGCTGGATAAGAGATTGTACTGCTCACAGAAGCTGTTGAATATTAGAATTAACAGTAGAAATAAAGGGAACAGTTTCTATATACTGTAAGGCATGAGCAATATACTTGCTATCTGTAAATAAATTAAAGGGTTGAGAATTACATTTTAAGCAGACTTCATAAACAGCAGCCAACTCTACATCTTGGGCTGAAGTATATACTGTCTGCCAGGAGGTAGGTTGATCATTAATAACAAATGCAGCAATACCATTTGATGAGCCATCAGTAAACACAGTAAGTGCATTAGGAACAGGTTTACTGGAAACATATTTTGGAAAAATAAATGAATGCTGGCTGGCAAAATGTAAGATCTTATCAGAAGGCAAATGATTAATTATCAGCCCTGTAAAAGAGTCAAAAGCCAAAGCCCAAGAGTCATTAAACTGAAAAAGCCAATCTTGCTGTTCTTTAGTATAGGGCACAGAAATATATGCAGGATCAGCTCCTAACATTTCCGGAGATAACTGTCATCCTCGAGTGATCAGGAGACTGACAAAATCAAAGAAAGGGGTAAGAACCTTTGAGGGGGAAACAGGTAAATGAATCCAATGCAAAGGAGCATCCTGGTATAAGACTGTTGTAGGAGTATGTTTAGACGGGAATACAAAGTCCCCAAGGCTTGGAGTAGTCACAGTAAGTAGCAAAATGCTGAGAAAGTGCATCTTCCACCTTAGCTAATGCGTTTCAGCCATCATCTGTAAGTATTCTAGGAGAAGAAGGATCTGTAGGGCCCTTTAGGATATCAAATAATGGCTTCAACTCTCCAGTTGTTAATTTAAGATATGGACGAATCCAATTTATATCTCCAAGTAATTTTTGGAAATCATTAAGGGTATTCAAACCATCTTTACGAATCTGAAGTTTCTGAGCTTTAAAGGTTTCTCCTTCCAACCTAAAACCTAAATAGGAGAAAGGTGGAGACCTTTGAACTTTTTCTGGAGCTACCTGCAGGCCAAACCTAGCCAATTGACTGAGCAGTAAATTATAGGCTTGCAGGAGAACTCCCTCAATATGGTAAGCAAGTAAAATATCATCCCTATAATGAACCAAGTAGATTTCTGGATAAGCTGCCCTTACAGGTTCTATTGCATGATTCACAAATTTCTGACATAAGGTAGGACTATTAGCCATTCCCTGAGGCAAAACTCTCCAATGATACCTTCGAGCAGGCTGCTTAAAATTAGTAGAAGGTATACTGAAGGCAAAGTGATGGCAGTCATCGGGATGAAGTGGGATGGTATAGAAGTAGTCTTTCAAATCCACAATAATTTTAAAAGTATCGCGAGGGATCCCTGCAGGTGAAGGCAGGCCAGGTTGTAAAGGCCCCATAATAATCATGGTTTCATTTACTTTACGGAGGTCCTGTAAAAGCCTCCACTTTCCAGATTTTTTCTTAATAACAAATATGGGTGAATTCCAAGGGGAGTTAGAGGGCTCAATGTGTCCCAAGCTCAATTGTTCCTGCACCAATTGTTCAGCTGCAGCAATTTTTTCTTTTGTTGGGGGCCACTGATCAACCCAAACAGGCTCATCAGTTTTCCAACTGATAGGATCTGCATGAGTTACAGGAGAATCAGAGACCCTCACTAAAAACATCTCAATCCTGCTCTAGCGGGTCATGGAATAGGCACAATGGGACAAGTAATTCCCTGATTGTCCTTTCCTAGCCCTTGTTGCGGGAGTAAACCTTGATTCATCATTATGTCCGAAACAATTTGATTAGGGGCAAAAATATATACTCTCATCTGCTGCATAATGTCTCTTCCCCAAAGGTTAACAGGGAGACGAGGTAGAATAAAAGGCTGGAAATCACCCTCATGCCCCTCTGAATCTTTCCAGTGGAGGAGGCATGGGAGGAATTGGAGCAGGATCCAAGCCAGCCACGACAGAAGGTGAGTGAGAATGCAGCGGCTTGGGATCGGAAGGATGCATCAGATCTAATTGTTCCACCCGCTGGGAGATAGATGTCAGCATTTCTTTTAGTTCTGCAAAAGGGGACGTCTTGTCTTTACCTTTAGTAAAGATAAAAGTGTCCCAGTTCTCTCTGTGAGTCAAAAGCCTGCTCCTCTAGTTCCTCCTGTTCTTCAGGGGACAATTCTGAGTCCGAATCTTGTGCATGAGCAACAGCCTCCTTTTTATTAGATTTTAGGTCTTCTGGGGAGTCATAAATGTGTTCAACTATCCCGGAGGTAGGCTGCAGATTTTTAGGAGTTATAAGCTTTAAGGCAGTTTCTAATTTTTTGCTTTCATGCTCTGGATTCAAACAATCTCTAATCAAAGTCCACAAGGAATAAGCGTCAAAGGGAACTTTATTGGGGCCATGCAAGGTATAAGCTAATTGAATTTGCTCTCCCACTTTTGCCCAAGTTTCCAAGCTAACCATCCCTTCCTCTGGAAATCAGGGGCAAGTTTCTTCTACAAAACTAAGAAATTTTTCTAGCTTAGGCTTAGTTACAGAAATACCTCTAGCTTTGAGCATAGTTCTTAACATAGAAACAAAGAACTATCTACTATTACTTTGACCCATAATTTTTACTCTCAACTATACCCTCTCCACCCACAATACCTGCAACTTCAGACGCTGCCCGCGGGATTACTTTTTCCTGGGTGGCTGTATTCCGGGATCTGCTCGTGTCCCTCTGTTCGGGCGCCACTTGCTGGAGCCTGCCGGCAAATGAACCGGTCGCGAACGCAATCGACGAAATACCTAAGAAATAAAGACTCAGAAAGAATGGGGTTGAGAGGGACGGAGCCAGCTCTTGGCTGAAGCTGACCACCGACCACTTTATTGAGGGGTAACATACATATATATGTTAACAGGACTCACTAATTTAGTTCAAAGACATGCATACATGCAGAATCACAGACATTCACTCAGGAATTTTATCTCAACTCTTTAAGATGAGCAAAGCATGGCACTGGCATCTTAGTGTAAATTAAATCATCCACAGGAGCCTGACAATCTTGTTAGAGTCAGGAAAATCCAGCAAAAGGTTGCTGCAGCAATTTCCCTTGATGGAGGTGTGAAAGGCCAATTTGCACTTTAACAAATCAGGGGTGGCGGGACAGAGAGGGACCTTTTGATCTCTCTCAGGGCCAAGAAGGGGCCTGAGCAGTCAGGCCGGCTCCCCGCAGCCAAGGACTCATGTAAAAGTAATGTATATCAAGAAGTGGTCCAAAAAATACATCGACAGGAAAGTGGGGAAGTGGACTGTGGAGGGGGTGCAGGGAAGAGAGTCAAGCAATATTTTCTACCAACCAAAGTCTCCCAGAGAATCCCTTTGGCATATCCATCAATCATTAGTTTAAATTACAAGGTACTAAGTCTTCATGCTTACAAATGAAGGGGGTTCTGATAGCCTGTGGGCAGTCCTATGAGGAAGAGCCACAGATTCTGGCTATTGGGAACAAAAGCACAGAGGAGCTGAGGTGCATGAAAATGGTAGAGAGTTCTAAAACAGCATTAACAGCATCTGCTTCGATAGGCATTAGTTTCAGGATTCAATAACATGACACTTAGAGACTGCCCCTCCAGTCCCTCTTACAGTTGTTTGCAGATATCTGTTTATCTGTACTGTTCTGAAGAAGACGGCAGAAACATGGACCTTGTCTCAAGATGATGATGAAACAGAATCATGTGAATGATGCACATCTAATATTTTTGGTACATATTAGGAGCTCAAGACACATAAATCTTCATCACTTTTAATATTAGATACTAACATGTATTATTTTAGGCAGAGTGAACAACACTGCCCTGATGTTATGGCTACCTTACACAGCAAGTTCTTTGCTCCTCATCTTTATAGCCTTGATTATGTAAATTGTGTGGATATCAATTCATGGGTTCAAATGACCCTTGGTGGCCTGAGGTTCTGGGATTGCCCAGGAGTGTCCTAATCAAAGCGCTCTAGTGATCTGATAAAACTGAACATTCATGGAGAAGGAAATGGCAACCAATCCAGTAATCTTGCCTGGAAAACCCCATGGACAGAGGAGCCTGGCAG